CGGCACAGCCAGCCCCAAGAAGGCCCGCGCATGGCCAAAATGGCTTGGCCGAGCCGCTTCGCGCCGAAATGTGGCGAGGACGTGATTTCGGTGGGTACGTGCCCTACGTTTTGCTCATGATTTTGTGGCTTTGGCCGTTCAGTGTGGATTGGCGGCGAGCCTGTGGCCGTTCGTCGACCTGATCTAGGATGCTCACAGATGCTCGGTGCTGCTCGCCGATGCATTTGATGGATTTGATGGCCTGTCTCCAGCCCGCGCCCGCATGCTGCGTCCGCGTCCACTCTCCCAGAGAGAGCAACAAACGGGCCGAAACTGCCGTTTGATGCATTTGATGAATTTGATGGGCCTGTCTCCGGCCCGCGGCCGCGATGTTTCCGGGAATCGACAGTCCGCACAGACAAGATCAGACCTGACTCTTAAAAGATGGCTGAGGCCGATACCTGGATCTCTGCGGCAGGCTAGAGCTCTCGATCAAACAATAAGCCGTGTGTGCGCCTGTTTCTTCATCTTGAGTTCCTTGAAGCGCCCTTCCGGCATTGCTGGCGATGGGATCTCGGGGATTTTTTTGAAAGGATTCAGGATCTTGGTTTGTTGTTTGCAGTCGCCTGTCTTGCGGGACTTTCGTGTTAGAGAGGAAGGTGCAATTTTCCAGAGAATAGTTCGGTGGTTGTGATATCCATGCCAAAATTCGAATCTTGCCCGCCTCAGCCGGTAAAAAAGCTTGGTTTTAGATCAGCATGTTACACTGCTGCAACTGTGAAATCTGCAGTACACAGGCTGCGCGCGGTGCATGCTTCTTTGTCAAGTAGCCGCTGTGTGAGTTGATTGGCCAGAAGGAGCTACCTGGGATCGGCAGGCTTTCTTCTGGTTCAAGTCAAGGTCTAACTTGCACGTCATGCACAGCAAAACATTGAAGGCAATGCAGCCAACGCAACAAGTCTTGTTCCGCAATCGCTTTTGCTTGGCTGATCTTTATGTCTCGTCGGAAAGATGGCTTTGACTGCGTACATCTCTATTACTTCAATGCTTGTTGGGACGTTTGGCGAGGTTGCGGTCTGCCCTGTGGGTTCATGCCAAGCATTGGAGCCCTGGACGCAAACTTGCTACCAGTACAATCAAGCATCGAAAGCTGCTGCCGGTGGGACAGCTTATGTGGCGTTTTGGGATTGTGCTCACGGGATGCCCCTGGCGCTTCGCATGACTCCAATCAGCCCAAAAGAGTGGCCGGCAGGAGAAGAGTATTTTTACCAGTCGCAAAGCTTGCAGAGCCTTCTGCAGACCTTTCAGAAAGCAGTGTCACCTGAGGAGCATTGGGTGTATGCCAGCCTCCACTACGGCCTTCAAGCTATCCCACGAGCCATGCGCAGGTTTACAAAAGACATTGAAATCAAATCTGAAGTGTTGTGGCGGCAGAGCGCCAGCTTGACAAAATTGATGTTCATGGTTGTTCCTGTCGCAGCAGAGTGTGAGCTCTGCGTGCAGCATTCCGGCAGGCTGGAGGTGTGGAAGCGCCAAGAGAGAACGCAGCTTGCAGGCGCTCTTCGCTTGCGAGTTTCGGTCCTTCAAGAGTTCACCCCTCTGGAGATTTCAGATCTAACGCATGCAGAGACAGTCCTGTTCATCTGGGGCTTCCTCACTGACGTAGCAATTATGGCCCGCATGGGCTTCTGGTTCGATTGCCATATGGGAAATATCGTGTGCCAACTCGACCAATACGGTGAAAAAACTTTCGCATGGCTGGACTTCGGAGGGCGAACTGGTGGCGACATGTTTTTCAGACAGCTCGCTGACACGCTCATTGCTGGTATGGATCGCCTACGTGATCTTGGCGCAAATGCCACGGCGAAGTCGCTGTCCGAGCTTGTCCGTTCGTTCTCGGCGCGCCCCGGGCTGGACCAGGTGGCTGAGCGAGCGCAGGAGATCCTGATCGAGACATCGCCAGATTACGAGTTTGCGAGCCATATACTTCAACGTGTGGGACCCCTTCGTCCAGATCGGCTGCGGAGCTTGCAAGAGAGACGGCCTCGCGCAGGCTTGCCATGTTCGACATGTTTCGACAATGCTTTCTTTCGCAAGCATATTGCATACTCACCACAAACCAATCTGTCATGCCTTGTCATGCCCAATGCTCTTGGAAGCGTCCATGTTGCACAGGGGGGAGAGATACCAACCATTGGCGTTCTGCGAGGCTCGTTGAGGTCATCTGTCTGGGTGCGGGAGCTGATCCGCAAGGACTGTGCTCTCTGAGTGCGAGTGCCGGTAATTGGCGTGCAAGGAATCGTTGACTGCATCGGTAGCACTCAGCAGCTGAATCTAGGGTTGGGGCACGGCTGTTTGGACGCTCGCCCTGCGCACCATCGTCGGCGGGGGCGGAGATTGAGGGCAGACGTCCGTTCGTGGAAAGGGGAGGGGCTCCGGGA